CTGCAGACCCCCCTGCCTTGCTGGCAGGAGGCTGCTGTGGCAGAGGAGTGACAGGTTGCTTGCTTTTTGCAGGATTTCAGTCCAGTTCTGGTAGCAGGCACCAAACCAAGGTGGCTCCAGCCCTGCAGCCATGCTGGGACTGAGTGCCAGCTGCACAGGTGGATTTGCAGTAAATACAAAAATGAGGCCCCATATAGATGAAATGCTAATTTCCATGTTTAACTTTTACTAGGAAAACAGGATGAGGAAAAACAAGGGCTTGCCAGATGTAAACCTGTCTGTGGCTTTCTTCATCCTGGCCTGTTCTTTTGATTCCTGCTATGGCCCTGCCTCAGTTCCTGATGTGGTTCCTTCTCAGCCTCTCCCTTTCCCCACAGCTCACCCACACTCTGCCCTACACTCACCTGGAATCAGCCTCCATTCCAAGGCTTAAATCACTAATAAAGTCAAATTCTTCTGAGTCTGCCTGCAAGTGATGAGCAGAGAGGCCCTAGGGAGGGCAGTGCTTTCAGGAGATGCTTGTATTTGTTTGAAGCAGATCCAAACCAAAGGAAGACTTAAATTCAGACCTTCTGTGCCCCAGAGGCACCACACAGTCACCAGCCAGCATGGGACAGTGCCACTGTGTCTCCTGCTCTTTTCTTCAGCCCTCCACCATCTGGATTGGAGGAAAAAGCATTTTCTAAGAGAAAGAATATGGAGATGTTGTGTTTAGCAGTGCTCTGGCAGGGAGCCTGTGTCTTCACTCCCTTCCTGGGCAGTGTGACCAGGGCTGAGAGACAAAGAGTTTTCCAATCATATTGCAATTGAGACTTGGAAAATGTTCTATATATTCCAGCACCAAAGACAATCAAAAACTTCTGTGAACTGAAATGTCAAGAATCCTCTTGCAGCTTGGGACTGATTCATTCAAACCGGAGCCCTAAAATTTACTGAACATTTTGACTTTGACCTTGAAAGTATTCCTTTTTTACTTCAAAAGTCAAAATATTGTTTCCATTACTTCAGAACAACTATTTTTAATTAAAAAAAATTTCCCTACCCTGTGTCCCAACATCTGAATGATAAAGAAAATTAGGAAATGCCAATAATCCAAATAGCTCACAACCTTTATTTTTAGTTCACAGAGATTACACATCCTTCACATTAATGATTGTTCTATGTTTTACTTCAGTTCATGTATTTTCCTCTCTTAGTGAATCACAGACCTCTCAGAAATCAACACATCTTGTTAGGAAAAAGACAAAATGCCTATTAAATTATCAAGTGCATTTCTCATCAGAGTGCAGCCATCATTCTCTGCAAAGAAGCACTATAGCTAAATTGACTTTCTAGAAAAAGCAGTGTTTAGGCAGATGGCACTGAGAATCATCTGAGTGTCATTCTTTGAATTGCCTTGGTTAGGCAGTGGGGACATTGGGAAGCAGGAGAAGCAGGAGTGGGCACTGCAGCTCGGGGCACACATCCCCCTCTGCATTCCCCTGGCAAAGCCCTGCAAGCTGCTGCTTTGGGCAGTGAGTGCCACAGGGGCTTTGTGCCCGGGCTCAAGGGCCCACAGTGTGGCACAGAGCTGGGCACAGAGCAGGGACTGGCAGGTGTGGTGCAGGGGCAGCCAGGTCTTTGATTAAAAATGGCTAGTGAGCCTTTCCAGGAAAAGAGAAACAAACCTGAAAATAAATATGCTTCCATTCAGCTATGAAATAATAATAAAAAAAGAATCTATGAAAATACATTCCCATGGATCCAAGGTGGTATAGAGCTGGCAAGCTGTAACTGAGCCAGATGAGCACCCCTGAGCACCTGCCTGTCCAGCTTGGAGCAGGGCACTCAGAACTTTGGATGTTAGTGCAGGGGCAAAATGTCCCCTTGAGAGTCTTGGGTGTCCCTCTGTTACCATGCAGAAATATTAGAAGCATTTCCCAGCAAAGGACAACCTGTTTACTGCTTGTTCATCTCAAAACTGAAGATGCTGCAGGGGTAAATTAAGTTTCAAGGCAGTACAGTTAAAATAGAAATCCTATTACTGAACTTTCGAAGGCCCATTCCCAAAGTTAATATCAATACTCTGCTCATTAACAAGCTTCTGTAGAAACAAAGCCCACTTGCTTAAATTCTTCTGAATTTCATTCACATTATTTTGGTTCTGCATTCAAGTTACATATTAAGTAGAAATAAAACATAAAAATTCCTCAACAGTTTTAGGCTTGTGACCTTTGGAGAAATGTTGATATTGGTGATCATCTCCAGAACTTTTTTACTATCACTGAAATAATGGAAAAGGTTCCTTCAAGTTACAAATCTATTAAGAAGCTTTTCAGAGCAGGAAAGATCCCTACCTATAAGTTATTTAGACTTAGTCTTGCTGGGAAATTGAGCGGTAGAATCAATGGCAAGCACAGAGAAGCAAGAATATTTTAGGACCATGGGCCATCCTGCCCTTTCCCTGCCATGTTTCACTGCTGAAGCTGTCAGGAGAGCCTGTCAAAAAGCTAAGCACATTGCTTAGGACTGACTCCCTGCAAAGCAGAGAGGAAATCTTGTAAATGGGATTTTAAGAGCAGTTGGAGTCAGACTGCAGCTGCTGAAACATTTTTCTGGCAATGTGATAGCTTCAGTGAGCGTCAGGAGATGCACCCAGCCAGCACAGGAGCTCAAGCTGGGAGCTGGTACTGGAGGCCTGGCTACTGGGACAAGACAACTGGCTGTTTGTCTGGCTGCCAAACCACCCAAGAGCTTTTATGATGTGCCAAACAAAGCTTTTAGAGCTGCTCAGGGAGCAAAACGGAGAGGAACCTGGAAATTACTTCACAAATCTTCCTTCCCAATGCAATCCACAGCAGCTCTGGCCACTCTAAAACAAGTCAGCTCAGATGAAAGCCACACGTGCCTTTGCAGTACAAAAGCTCAGCCCACCTGATTTGCAAGTTAAGACCCAGGACAGATTATTTCAGGATAGATGTGCCCTAGGAGTTAATATCTGGGAAAACCAGGGCATTGCAGCCAAGTCCTGTGGGGAGATGCCAAGGAGGAATAGCAGGGGCAATGCAAGGCTGCCCTGGCTGCAGCAGCAGCCAGCTGGGTCCCCCTGGGCTCTGCTGGGATGGGCTGAACAGGACAGGTGCCACACACCACTGGTGTCACCCCTGCCCCACAGGTGCAGAGTGCAGCAGGACAGGGAAGCAGTGCCAAAGCTTCCACCTCTGAAAAAGCCTCCCTCTGTAAATCTGCCTGGGCTGTGGTGGGAGACCAGAGGTGTTGGAAGCACAGAAGGCTCATGACACTTTCCTCTTAAGCTAGCTTTGCCCAGACTGTTGGGGATGCTTACAGTGATCATGTCAGCGATCACGGGCTCTTGGATGGAGATTGCAAGGACCCAACATCCAGGCTGCTTTCCTCATCCCAGCCCCCAGCAGGTGACACTTGCCAAACAGGGCTTTCCTCAAACAGGAGCTCTCCCCATCTGTGACAGCAGTAAAAAAACACAGGAGAAACACCATCTGTTCATCTAATGGGTACCAGGGGTATCAATCCTCACCACAGCACTTACAGACTTCAATAAATACATAGAAATAATTTTTTCTAAATATGGGGAACTGGCCTAACCACAGAATTGCTATTCCAGCAGGGTTTATTGTTGTTTATATTGCACCAACAGCTTGTCTTTGTAACAAACATCCCAGGCTGGTACAAGAATGTTGACTCCTGTAACAAATCCTTGGTGTTTGGGTGCCCATTCCTCACTCTGTGCCCAGTGAAAGTGGGAGTGTGAGACGTGGTGGAGGTGGCTCCTGCCCCAAGCATCCCCAGCAGCAGCCTGGAGAGGAGACAGCTCTCTCCAGAACCTTTCCCCTATGGCTTTACAGGCACAGGCTGGGGCTCACGTGTACCTCCTGTATCCTTGGCCCTGCAGGTACAGCCTTCTCCAGCACCACCTTCATTCCTTGACCCAAGCACTCCCATCAAAGAGAATGTGGACTGTCTTCTAGTTTCACAATTTTCACAAGTGCCCTAAGGACTGTAGCTATTTTGAAGTAGAGAAAAATACAGTCCCATCCTAAGCTCTCAGCATCCAGTCTCACTGGCCAGCCAGGAAGCAGAACAAGGTCTGTCCTGTGGCTTTATTGCTCTCTGGAGTTTCTGCTCACTGATTTTTGACTCCCTAGAGTTGGCTGTAAGACAAGCACTGTTTGAATGGAACTTTTCCTGGCAACAACAATTTTCTTTAAGCAGGGATGTGCCTTGCTTCCTGAAAGGAAGAAAAACCACACACCAGGGTAGGCTTGGGTGGCATGAAGAACATCAGGCAGGTTGAGAACACCACCTCTGAGCATTCCATAGTTTGGAGCAAGTGTGGGACATCACTGAAAGGAAATTTGGGTCCCAGCACCCAAAGGCAGGAGCCATGGGACCAGCTGTGCCTTCAGATACTTCTCTTTTCCTTGCTTTGCTAACAGATAGTACCTTAGGCTCTTAAATAACATTTTGTTGCATAAGCTATGAATACTGGCATGAGCTTTCAGGTAAAAAGAAAATACCCATGTATAGGGCTGTGTTACAAGGATGCCTTTAAAGATGTTGGAATTACCAGGGAAAGGAAGGGCTCTAAGTGTTACCATTCCATTGACAGTAGCAGGGATTGCTGAGTTGGGCTCTCTCACCTGGCAAATGCTGCTCATCTGAGCAGGGCTCCAGGAGCTCATGGGGCTGTAGCACCCAGCCTGCTCACTAATGACACACCCAACCAGATCAGTGTGTGGGCACTGCCTCATTGCTGTTTCAGTCACTAAACCCCGCTGGGTGGAATTACCAGCATGTTTATTACAAATAATATTTGACAGGATGAAATTAGCACATAGATGCTCTTATGTTGGTTAATGAGGTCTGAAATCTAATCCTATAAATCATCAACAACTGCCAGCTGGTGACAGATGAAAAGTAGAGAGGGTGGTTATAACATATCCACATCACTGCAGTGACAGGGGTTTAAAATAGCAGCATACCTCTACGCAGGACAGCACTGAATGGAGACAAGTGGGTGTTATCCTGGTTGCAGGGGTTCCTTTCATGCTGGGGAGCAGTTCAGGGCTGCTGAAGGGATCAAACCTTCCACTGCATCCAGGTGCTGCTTGCTGGGTCCTTCAGTCAGCTGTTGGGTGGGAAAGACCTGGCCACGTTGTCCCTCCAACAAAGAAGAAGTTGCACCTGCAGTGACAGAACAGGCTACATCTGACTTTACAGATCTAATGAAAAGAGAAGTGTCCATGTGCTTTCCAATGCTGGCTGGTACCAGTTAAAATGAAGGCAAATCATTGCCAGTCTGAAGCTGTTGAACATTTATAAGAAATGCATGGTCTAATTTGCAGTATTGAGCATCCAACAAAATCCCATTCTCAAGATTTAGAAAGCAGTCCTACTTTCTAAATGTATATCTTTCTTATTCAAGGTCTAGCAAACAGAACAAGAGTGAGTAAATTACTTTATTACTGCAATTCACATTTACTGTCCAGCATTTTTTATTTAGGAAGTAAATCCACTTGAAAGGCCACCACAAGTAGGAGAACAGGAAGCAAGAGTGTGTGTGAGGCATCAAACCACTCCCACCTCCCGTGCACAGCTGAGTCACAGCTGCAAGCACATCTCTGCACACAGTTCTCCTCAGAGCTGGGCTTGTTTATGGGCACACCTCTCCTGCTTTAGTACCCAATTCACAACATATTCAGTATTGGGAACAAATTCCAGGACTCTACTTATTTATTTTCAACCTCCAGCCATCCCCTGGGCTTGTAACTAACTGGTCTACACAGCCCCTTCCCACCTGCCCCTCCTGGCAAGCATTACAATCTTTACACAAAGGGTAAATAAGCACATCTAACCTGTTCTATGACTTAGACAAGCACTTTCCAGAAAAGCAGAATGTTGTTTCCTGTAGGCTTAATATTGATAGTGTACTGTAAACATTTAATATATGACTAAATACTGTGCAAAAATTATAGCCCTAAATATTTACTCACTGCTGCTTGCCCTGTGCTTTAAAATATCCTGTGATGGAGTTATAAAATATCCATACATGTTTAAGCTTTCTCCTGCTTTGTAACCCACTACAATCTGCTGCATCACTGGTGGTTTAATTTCAATTCTAACAGTGCTCTTTTGGTTTTCCCACCCATGCAAATGTGCTGCTAACACTTCACCTCACCCCTGTCATTTCAGTGTTTAATAGCATCCTACAGCAGTGTAAGATTTGCTGTGGAGAGGGAGCTGGAGTTGTTTATCCTGGAGAAAAAGAGGCCTGGGGGGACCTTTCTGCTCTCCACAACTACCCAAAAGGATGGTGTAACAAGGTGGGGTCAGGCTCTTCTTGCAATTAGCAATCAAGAGGGCAAGAGGAAATAGCCTCAAGCTGTGTCAGGGAAGGTTTGGATTGAATATTAGGAAGAAATTCTTCACAGAAAGGGTTATCAAGCACTGGAACAGTCTGCTCAGGGCTGGGGTGGGCTCACCATCCCTGGAGGGGTTTAAAGCACATGTGGATGTTGTGCTTGGGGATGTGGTTTAGTGGTGGCCTTGGCAGTGCTGGGTTGATGCTTGGACTTGATGATTATTTCCAGTCTAAATGAGCCTATGAGTTTTGACAGCAACAACTGCAATATTTACATATTTCTTATATTTTCCTCAGTTCTTTGGTATTTCAAGTCATGTCAGCCTCCCATTGGGGGATCAGACCCTCCAGGCTGGATGCTGCAAGTATTTCCCTTAGAATCAAACAGGAAATGTAGCAGAATATGTGTGAATTACTCATATTCACCAAGGAAATAACTGTGTTCTGAAAATTTGGGATGAAGAAATACCTCATCTAATAAACAATGTTCATTTCTGCAACAACAACAACAAAAAAAACCAAACTCACTGATGTATTGCATTATTTTAGCATAAGGTTACATATGCTATCTCCATTTTATGAGAAAGAAACATCATTTCAGAACTCCAAGAACCAGCACATTACAGTGACATCTGTGAATATTCCTCCTACTTTGTGAACTGGGAATTAGCTCAGATAGAAACCAAACTTCACCACATGTGTAAGAGACTTTGCCTGTACTCTGGGTATTTTTTGGAACATGTTTTCTTGCACGCTGCTCACTGGAAAGATTTGTGGATGAGTATTATACTGCCCAGGGAAAAATGAGGTTCCTGGAAAGCCAGTATGAGAAGCTGGAAATAGTCAATGGCAACATGAGAGGCAAAGCAGGCAAAGTAATTACCTTACTTGTCATTAATAGGAATAAAGAAACTTAATTAGTACCAGCAGTTACAGTGAGGCTTTGACCCTGGAGCTGATCTTAACTGCACAACTGCTTATCACACACCAGCAAGCAGGGAAAAGCTGATCAGGCTTCTCACATGAACTTCCACAAGGAACAAGAAAACCAAGAAAAACCAAAGCTCTGTGACACATGTAAGGCCACTGCTGGAGTGCAGAGGCTGCAGGGGGCTGGCTGCAGGGTCAGCCTCAGCTGGTGCCACCCTGCTTGGTAAGCCCTGGGCAAGAACTGGTGTGGGAGAGGTTTGACAGGGAAATTGTGTGTTCTGACAAGTTCCCTTTGAGGAAACATGGCTCTCAGGGATTTGGGACATAGGCGGGATCTAACTTAGGATGCCAGGAAATGCCTGGACTCCTCATGGTAAATGAACTGTCAGCAGTAATAGGAAACAACTTTGAAAAAGCTGGGCACTAATTCCAAGTATGAGGCACAGAGCAAAGAATGATCTGGTTGCACATCTTTTTATGTTTTGATATCAAACTGCCTCTCAACCCACAAACAACAATAGATTTTGCTCAGTGGCTTGCTCTGCTGATATCCTTATCACTCCCAGCCCATAAAGTGCAGTGATGGCTTTGCTGCTCAGTCACTCTCCTTTACAGACATCCTCACATGCTGTCCCATATAGGTAAGACCTTACACACATGTAAACATGGTTAGAGAGAAAAGTTTTGATGAACATCTACACTAGCCATTACCAACCAATGAAATGAGTTACAAGGAGTTGCTGAGCAATTGGAATTAAACATGGTGCCTTCTGATTGCCATATAAACATATCCTGTGTGTAATAAAGATTTGGCTTTTGCCGCTTGAAGTGTTGTGTCTGTCTTTGTCTGTCCCCACAGTGACAATATGCTATAAGATTAATCTGCAAACATTTATTGTGAGTCTCTTTATGCAAATAGCCCACTTTTTGTAGTCAGTCCATGAAAAAGATTACATTTGCAGAAGGATACAGGGCTTTAAAACATTGTTACATCTTGCAGTCTATGAATACAAAGCATTTCTAAGTCTGCCTTGTCATTAACACACCATTAAAAAAAAAAAAAAAACAAAAGCACAAAAAAAAAAAAAACTAAAAAAAAAAAAAAAAAAAAAAAAAAAAAAAAAAAAAAAAAAAAAAAAAAAAAAAAAAACCCAAAATAATAAAAAACAAAAATAGGAGAACCTTCCTTGAATGTAAGACTGGAGAGGACAATTCTGTTCTAATGACTGTTACTGTGCACACAGTAATGCTAATGAATGCATTCTAATAAAGGTGTACCCTGACTCACTAAACAGAGCCCTGCAGTGATCCCATGGCTGACACAGAGAGGATCCTTGCTGGCCTGTGGAATGTGGGAGAGGATTCACCTCCCACCCTGCAAACAGAGTCCTTGGGATCTGGAGGCACAGCCTCACCACCAGTGCAGCAGCTGCTGTGGCTGCCAGTGATCCTCTCTGTCCTCCAGCCTTGGGAGGGGTTCTGGCATCCCTGGTCCCTACACAAATCTGGGATTCAATTCCTCCTTCTGGCCTTCACAGGGCTTTCTCTGGGTTCCATCCCCCAGAATTGACCACTGCTGTTTTGCAAAAGCCATGCCTTTAAGTATTTCATCACCCAACCTTAAATAAAGCCTCAAGACTCCAGCAATGCTCAAAGCTGCAATAACTGCCTCTGCTAGCAGTGAAAAAGTAATTACTCAAACCAACTGATGAAAGAATATTCAAGCTGAATATTTAAGGAGTTTCAGAAGCTTATCAGGGATCTCAATTTTGTGACTTGATTTCAAATTTCCTCCGTAAGTCATGTGTCAGAAAAAGAATGCAAATAAACAATGAAAAAGATATTGAAAATATTATTTCAGTCAGCAGTAAAATTAAACAATGCAATGGAAGATTATTTTCCCTTTCACACGTGCTGAGTGATGACACAAATAATAATTTCAAAAGATTCAAAAGGCATTGTGCCCCAAAAGATGGAGCATGATTACAAGCTTAATGGGTTGTTCAACTTGATAAAGTGCCAGTTTCTAAATAAAAACTGTGCTTTAAATATTTAATCAAATTTTGAACAGTCTTCCATTTTTTTTTCCATTGGCTAAAAAAAGGCACCAAAAATCACATTTTTTCTTGAAGCATCCAAAAATATTTACAGGGAAATTAAGCAGAAGAAGGAAGGTTTAGGTAAATTTGAAACTATTTAGGTTCCTTCTAATCAAAGCAGTGAAGCTTCAGTGCAGTGACCCCTTGTCAAACACATCACCAACAGAGATTTGCCTGTGCCTTTTGACTTCCCAGTGGTTTACACACCCACAAGTGGACACAAGGAGGGGATTTTTCCCTTGCATCCCCATGGCTCCAGTGCCTCACACCGAGCAGTGAGGTACCACCAGCACAGCCCGGAGTCCTCTCCCCACACATGCCCAGAGAACTGAGAGCCCTGGCAAGTGAACATGCCAAACACACTGTGCATTAACCTCATCAAACCTTTTGCATTGCTGCCCTCTCCCACCTGCTTTAGTCTCCATCAATCTTTTCATCACTTCCAACCAGCAGCCCCTGAGCAGTTCAGGACATTCCCTGGTTGTCTTCCCTTCTGCCACATGGACTTGAAAAACCTATATATTTCCATCAAAAGATACAGCAAACATTTAAAACAACTAGAAAGGGGATGTCAAACAGTCCTGTTGGAATCCAGGCCACGGCCACTTTCTGCTATTTTGCCATGTTGAG